GCCACTGACAGCTCGAAGCGGAGGGAAAAAATGAAGGCACGAGGTAAAATGTAAGGAAAAGTGAAAAAGAAGGTTTTTTCTCTTTTTTGGGATGAGGAAAAGCAAGCAATTTCTGTTTACGCTTTTTAATTTTTGCTTTATTGTGCGCAATTTATGTTCCAACCCGTACGAGTGTGTGAATAGCAGGAAAGCGAAGAAGAGCAATTTTGTGGGGCACACGTCAGCCTTCACCTTACACCTTTCACCCGAAACCTTGAACCAACGCAAGCCCCACTCCACTAGAATGCTCTACCATTGTTGCATTTTTTCCGCTTTGCCATGGCTCTTAGTTTTCATCCTGCTGGATTTCATTAGATTTATTTTGATGTGTAGCTCAGATATTCAGGGAAAGAATTCACGGTGACCCACAAAATAAATTCCTTGCAAAAACCTCATATATGTGTGGCCATATGCTATTGAGAAAATGACAAAGGCCAAATGTGACCATGGTTGCATAAAAAAGGTCAAAATGGGTTGATCGGATAATTTTGTATATTTTTCAAGAATTTATAACTTTCCAGAACGCCAATGGTGTAAATTGATCCAACAGCTTATCACCCCCCAAAAAAAGGGGCCAGTGACCACGCCCATTTCTTATCGCCCGGCACATCCCGCCTGACTCATCAAAGACACATGTGCTCCGGCCCCTCCGACCAACAAAAAAAATGCATAGCAATGGCAGGACAGAAAAAAATTGAAACTCACAACAAAAACACAAATTACGACCTATTTTTTGGTTTTCCCGCTGCCACGCACAAAAATTTGGGCGTTTCTGGGGGATGAGCGAGTGTTCGCATAAGGAAAGTCTATAAAAATCCACAAATAAAATGTCATTTGCCTGGAACGTGCCTGGCATCTACTTATAAACTAAATTAAGGATAACATTTGAAAAATTTGCACAAAATAAAATCCAGCCGAAAGGATCCAGAGAATAGAATGGAACAGGACACAAGTCGCGGACACGATGTCCTGAATGCTTAAGTTGAAAATGTTTCTTACCCCTGAAAAAGTACACACGCACACCCAAATATAATATATAGTATACATGGGGCACAAAAGGAGAGGACCAAGTAAAGGCGAAGAAAAGAAATGGAAGCTGAGTGAAATAGAAAATATACACAATAATTTAAATTGCTTTACAATGAAACCCTAAAATGTCAATAGAGCGGCGCGCTATTTGCTTTTCCTATTTATTCCGCCCACTCGTTGGTATACTTCTTAGTATGCAAAGTGCCGTCCTCGCAGTCCCCATGCCCCACCCCCCCGGAAAACACCCTCCTCATTGCCACTTTGTTGGCTTTTTCATTTCATTTGCCAGTGGACGCATTGAAATAGAGTGGATAATTCTGGCCAAAGGGCGATAACCTCTGTATAACGGCGCCAAGATTCTCAAATAAAGGCCCATTTGCAGATGGAGGTCTTAGAATTTCGAATTTACGAAATCTTTTTGTTGTGTAATTGAAGATTTCATAATAAATTTCATATCTTATTCATAAAGCAAAACTATAACATTTATTTATGTTGCAATGACGCACTTGGTCATACTTAAGCAGAAATAGCAAATGCCTCGGTGTGACCAAACCTCAAAACAGGTTGCTTTTTATTAAAGCTTCAAACTCACCTATTAAAATGCATTAAAAATTTCACAAAATCAAGTTTTTAAGCATTTGACTTGAAATGGCGATACTTATTATGATCTGGGTAATCGCCATTTCGCACTTCCTTTTAAGACAAAATATCCATTTACACCCAAACATGCGAGCCTTGGCGGTTGGGGATTGGGATACGTACGTATATTTTGACACAGTTTTATTTTCCAATTTTTCGCTACTGTTTGTTCTGTACTGCAAATCCGAAATCCAATTGCAGATGAAAGCGACCACACAATGTCGGCACGTACGCGTTGTGCTAAATATTTCAACACGATTCAACAAACTACTCACTTAGCTGGCTAAAAAGAAAACTCTCCTCTGCTCCCCGCAAGAAGCTAAAAAGAAGAGCACCGGGCATGACCCGCAAGCATTTGCACTGCATTTAAAAAACATTTGCGGTTTTTACGCTTAATCATCGTCAGCGGGCGGTGGCTTTCGCACGGCGGGTGTGGGCGTGGTGTGTCTATATATCCCCAGCCGACATCATTTCCTAGCTTGGAATTCCCAGCACGCTTGTATATATTAATAAAAATGCATTAGTTCACATTTATTTTCGACATAAAACGTGTAAAAGTAAGCAAGCCAGTCAGCCAGACAGACAGACAGAGTTAGAAATAAAGTGGGGGTGTGTGGGGAACAGGGACGGAGACAGAGACAGAGACAGACAGGCCAAAGGGATCCCGAGGGGCAGCTTGTGGAAGATTTCACTCACCTAGAGTCAGCGAAAAGGGGGCGGGGTCGACCCAGTGGACGGTGGCTGCACTGAGAGAAAATAACGAAAGAAAATGGTCAGTGTGACCATGCTAAAATGACTAAACTAAACAATGACTAGTGTGACCATGCCACTACAAAAAGCACCGAGCCTAAGAAGTATTTTCTTAAAGAAAAATATTTGTTAATTTAAAAATATATTAAAGACATAAATAATTAAAAGAAATTAAACAAAAAATTAAAAAGAGATCTCTCAATATTATATAAGGAATTTACTTATAAGAATGAATGATATTTCTACAGCTTAAATTAAATTTATTACTTTTCTCTCTCTGTGACCTGCTACTACTGCTACTCATTTAAAGCTCGGCGACTTTTCCTTTTATTTCAACGCTTGAAAGCAAAATAATGTACACGACAACACCAACCCCCCGTGCTAGTATCTCGTTTTTCCACCCACCCCACCTAAGGCCCATCCCCATCCGAAACCGAAATCCCCCGTTCCGATTTCTCCGCAGACAGCCAACCTGTGCACTTTCGCTCTCGGTGTCTCTCTATGCTGGTCGTAAATTTTAGATATTCGCAGCACGTGCAAATTATGTACAATAATAAAAGGCAACGGCGGAAAGAAGAATAATCCAGAGCGAAAGTAAAGTAAAGTGAGTCGAGAATGGGCCTGGGCGCAACTGTTGTGCGGAACTTGTAGCTCTGTGTTACAACTCGACTCGAAAGTGTCTGTCTCAGTCCCGCTGACGACTGACAAGTACATAAAACATGTCTGCGCCTAAAAGTCTGGTGCATTTTCAATGCCCAATGCCCTGTGCTGGATATCGATTGTCTCGCTTTCCCGCACTAAATTCTCCGGAAAGGGGAGGCAAACTTTCGCCACCATCACGAACTGGCAACAAGTGATGGAAAGTTTATACTTCCTGTGTTCAGCTCGGCAAAAAGAAGTGAAAGGATGAGGAGACAGCCACTAGAGACTCTTATTTCAAATATATATATTAGGAAAAGCTGAAAGGTGACCCAAAACTGCACTGTTACAGCCCATAACTCGGCCAATTGGATCCCTAATATCGCATTTGAAAAAGTGTTTACTGCAATTATCTAAGAAGTTATTGATTAATTTATAATACATTTTTCTGATACATATTATTAGGTCTCCGACGAAAGGTGACCTAAAACTGCGCTTCTTATAACTTGACTTGCTGATATCCGATTTAGATTGGATTTGAGTTTCTATTTAATTTTTAAGTCCATAAGTCGAACTTAATTAAAACGTTTCCAAATTCAAGAAAATAAATAATTGACCAATAAATATTAGGAATTTCATTGCTGAATAAAAATAAGACGAAGTTTTGCCGGTTATTTATTCATGACTTTCAGCGGATTTATGGCCCAGCAATCTTTTAAGGTCTTTTAAGTTTGTTAACCACTTTCGGGCAAAAGATTCGGATTTCCCCGAATGGCCATTTCCTTCCTTGGGCCTCCTCAGGTGGCGACAATCATTGGGCTGCCGTCGCTTTGGCAACCCAATTGCGTCCCCGAGGTGTTGCATAATATTTAACACCCGACGACCCACTGATGCTGATGGTTATCATTAGCATCGCCCCTTCTCCTAAAAAGGAAAACTTTTGTCTCAACCCCGTAGGCGGTTTTCTGTTTTATTTTTTTTTGTGAACATTTTATAATTGCTTCAATATTTCGCTCTTCCGCAGTTGTCGTGCTGCGGCAGTGTTTTTTGTGTTTGCCACACGTTTCATAGCCATAACAAATTACTTAGGTCATCAATTATGAGGTGAGACACTCGCACCTCAAGCGCCGACATCGCTCTTGAATGGTTTTGCTACTGTTTTCTCGGTTCTGTGTTCTGTGTTCTGAGTTCTGGATTCTGTTTCTGGTTGTTGCTGATGCTTTTATTGCTTTCATTATGATTTCATGCGGCGTGAGGCACGTTCCGGATGGCTTTTCCCCCCACAGGAAAATTCCCCAATTTCCAACGCTTGACGACCATTTGTCTAACTTCAGATCTTCAGGTATTTTGATGCGGTGCCCGTCTGCGGGTGGCTTTGTTAATAATGTTATCTTTTATTTATAAAGCGTAACTTTTTGTTTTTCGTTTAAACTTTTTTCATGAGCGGTTGGGGTTGAATGTAATTGCTTTCGGTGTATGAATAAAATGGCGTGGATGTAAACGAATAATTGGTAATTGGATGGTTTAGACTGTAAATTGTAGAAATATACTAAATCATTTGTAAATATTAGTTTACCAATATACGAGGATGGAAATGAAATTATTTAAAAAGGAGTGAAAAAATATGCTGCATATTTCAAGGAACTTTGATAACTTTAAACTTATACCATCTTATCTTTCTCTAGTATTTATTATTACTCAATTTAATATTAATCCACCGATCTTTAACCGATTTCAAATAAGCTCTTAAGTTTTCGATTCAATTTCTATATATTTCAAATAAATTAAACAACTTTTGCTTAGAGAGTATAAAAAATAAATAAATGCCCAGGGGCAGTGAAGCTGGCAGTGCCACGCATAACAAGATTGAGTAGCTGTACAGCCGGTGGTTCCGGTTCCGGTTTCGGTTCCGGTTCCGCTGGTTCTCCTGCTTCCGGTGGTTGTGCTCGTTGGTCGGGTGGTGCAAGGTCAGCGTCTTAGGGCTTGTAGGTGTAGGCTCCACCGCAGTTCTTGTAGCACAAATAGCTGGGCCGAGTGCGCCACTTGCGGCAATATCTGCGATAGCAGTTGTTGGGACTGGGCGACGGTGGGCGGTTGGTGGGTGGCTGATCGGTGGGTGGCCTGTTGGTGGGTGGTTGATTGGTAGGAGGCCGGTTGGTGGGTGGCTCATTGGTGGGAGGTTGATTGGTGGGTGGCTGATTGGTGGGAGGCTGGTTGGTGGGAGGCTGATTGGTGGGAGGCTGATTGGTGGGTGGCTGATTCGTGGGTGGTTCGTTTGTGGGTGGCCCATAGGTGGGCGGTTGTTCCGTGGGAGGCTCAGCAGTGGGTGGCTGAACAGTAGGGGGCTGAAGCGTTGGGGGCTGAGCCGTCGGAGGTTGAACCGTCGGGGGTTGAACCGTCGGAGGTGTTTCTGTAGTGGTGGTTGTTGTGGTGGTGGTGCCGCAGTCATTGGCCACAGTGGTGATCAAGTGGCTCAATAGATCCACCACAAGCAGCACACTCAGATCCACATCAACCAACTGAACCACATCGTTGTTATCGCCAATGATCTCAGTATTGGGTCCAGCTAAAGAAAAATAATATATATTTATTAACAAGAGATCGGATAACCTCTAAATGATCTGCACTTACAGTTCAGCTGGTTGCAAACGCCTCCACTTCCGCGGATTATATTGAGAACATCGAGGAAGGCCAACACCCACAGGTCCACGTTGATCAGCTTCACTATGCGATTATTATTGCCGATAACCACCGTCTTGGGACCCTCTGCAAAGTTAACAAATACTCTTTAGTTCAAGGGGTTCTCTCTAAAAAGATGATTACTTACTATTCGCCGAGTTGCCAATCAGTCCAGTGGAACCCAAAAGATTGGTTATGCTGCTCAGGATGGGAATGTCGGCCAGAACGAATCCACTGACATCCACCAACCGAACGAAGTTGTTATTGTCTCCCTTGATCACGGTGTCGGCTCCACTAGTGGCACTGTTTCCAATTACGGAGGAGGAGGAGCCAGAGGAGCCGCCTCCCAAAATGCTGGTAACACCACCGAGAGGGCTGGAGGATCCAGAGCCGCCTCCCAAAATGCTGGTAACTCCGCCCAGGGGACTGGAGGATCCAGAACCGGAAGAACCAGTTACGCCGCCGAGGAGGCCACCAACTGTGTTGGTAACTGTACCAAGAACGGGCTCCACTGCACCCACCACACCACCGAGAACGGGACTTACTGCACCCACAACACCACCGAGAACGGGTCCCACTACCGGAACAACACCGCCAACCACTCCGCCGACAGTTCCAGTCACGGTTCCAAGAACACCGCTAAGAAGGTTATCTGATCCTGATCCTCCAGTGAGACCACTTAATCCACCCAGAGCTCCGGAGGATGGAGAGGAGCTTCCACCGCTAGAAGATCCCCCACTAGATGATCCCCCACTTGAGGACTGACCGCTTAAATTGCTGATGGCCGAAACAGCCGCCAAAACTGGAACATTGGCGTCTACGACCTTGGTGACCTTATTATGACTACCTCTAATGCGAATGTTGGGCTTTTCTAAAAAGTAAAGAGAGAAGAATTAGTACAAGATCAGAATCAGGATCAGAATGAGATTACTTACGATTCAGATTATTGGCAAAGCTCGTTCCGGTTATTTGGCTAAGAACGGGGACATTGGCCAAGGCATCAACGTTGGCATCAACCACTTTGGTAACCTCGTTTTGATCACCCACGATATCAACATTCGGATCAACTAGAAAATAAATTAATTCAACTTAGTAAGAAACTTTCATGGAGTCAAAATAACTAGAGTGCTTACTGTTGGCATTGTTTCCCACTGAGGCTCCTGGGGAGGATCCGTTGGAGGAACCACTCGAAGAACCACTCGATGAACCACTCGAAGAACCACTTGAAGAACCACCTGAAGAACCACTTGAAGAACCACTCGAGGAACCACCTGAAGAACCACTGGAAGAGCCCGTTGTCGTCGAGCCCTGATTAATGATACTAAGAACCGGAGCGGCGAGAGATATTGGCAGTCCAAGATCCAGTAACTTGAAAAGGAAGTTCTTATTGCCGGTAATGGTATCGCCTTTAACTGGAGGTAAGAAATAATAAATATTAGATATGTAATATTAAAAAACCAATTATAAGCTTACCATTCACATTGTTGCCGATTACAGATGAGCTGGAAGAACTGGGAGTGCCAGAGGAAGATGAAGAGCTACCAGAGGAGCCAGTGGATCCCGAACTGGAAGAACCACTCGATCCCGTACTCGTTGAGCCAGAAGATCCCGAACTGGTAGACGGACTCGAGGAAGAAGAGGAACTAGATGGGGAGCTAGACGATGTACTTCCACTTCCGCTGTTTGACCTCGACAAAACAGGAACACTCGCCAAAACTGGAACTCGTGCTCCCACCAGGCGGTTAAAAGTGTTTCCCGTTCCCTTGACAACCACATCAGATCCCTCTGCAAAAGAAAAAAGTAATATAAAAATAAGAATAGAAAAATACCAAGATTATGCCAGTACTCACGATTGAGAACGTTGCCGGTGAAACCATTTCCCTCGAGATCACTTAGAACGGGGGCAAAAGCTCCGACGGGAATATTGGCGTTGATGGCATCATTAATCGTGTTTCCAGTGCCACTTTCCACAACAGAGGGCGCCACTAAAAAAGGAAAAAATTAATAAATCCGTTGATGTGGACAAATTAGAGAGAACTCACAGTTGAAATCGTTACCAGCCCCCGATGAACTTCCCGAAGAGCTAGATCCTGAACTTGGGGAACCAGAAGATCCCGAGCTTGACGAACCAGAAGATCCCGAACTTGGGGAGCCAGATGAACTAGATGGAGTTCCCGAAGAGCTACTTCCAGTGTTGATCCTAGAAATTACCGGCACACTCGCTAAAACGGGAGCTTTGGCACCCAGTAAGCGATTGAAAGTGTTTGCTTGTCCTTCGACCACCACATCAGATCCCTCTGCAAAACAGAAAACGGTATTACTACGAAGGACAAACAATATTGTTAAACGAAACACTCACGATTCAGAACGTTGCCAGTGAATCCATTGCCATCAATCTCACTTAGAATGGGAAGATCAGCTCCGACGGGAATATTGGCATTAATAGCATCATTAACAGTGTTTGCAGTACCAGTCTCTACGACTGAAGGTGCCACTGTAAGTAGAAAAAATCACTTAAATAAACCCGAAATTGGAAAAAATGGAATAAACTTACAATCGAAATCGTTACCCACGGCTCGCTTTGCGGTGGCCACCGACTCTTGGGCCACTTGGGTCTTGGGATCGGTGAGGTCGCCTCCATTCAGGGTATTTAGGGCTGCGGCATTAGCCATTTCGGCGGTTGTGGCGGTCGAGGTGGCAATTGTGCGATCGAGGGCAGTCATCAGACCCATTAGGACCACTTTGTCTACGCCCATGGCCAGCAGGCGGACGATCCAACTTTCGGGGGCGGCGGAGCACAGGCCACTAGTCTTGCCCCCGGCAATGGTGGACAAACTGTCGAGCAGCGATACGGAAAGCATGCTAAAAGCATTCACCTGCAGCAGACTGACGCTGTCGGGACCCACTGAAAGGATAAGGAAATTCGATATAATGGTTATCAGTCCATTAAAAAATGTTACTCGTTAAATTGATATTCACTGCACTCTCGTTAGTTATCACTCGATAATATTACTCGTTAACTGATTCAAATTTCTTCTTACTCGTTACTCGCTACTTAATATTCATTACTCGTTACTGACTCTAATTTCGTAACTCGTTATAAATCACCTCGTTATATTTACTCGTCACTTTTCTGCATACTCACTCTCTCGCAAATTCCGGATGATCTTGTGCGCCTCTCCGCCCGAAGCTCCGCACACCTGCAGCAGTGTATTCAGGATGGCGCTCAGCTCGTTGATGTTGCGTGCCTGCAGGAACTTCAGCACCGTGTTGCGATCGTCCTTGGCCACGCCCACCCGACGGGCGGTACGCAGACCGGAGCCCTCCGTCTGCTGGTGATGATCCTGGTCCTGATCCTTCGACTGGTGGCGCTGACGCGAGTGGGTGCTCTTGATCACCTGGCCCACCTCCTCCTTGGCGCACTCGATGCCATTGAAGAAGCACAGGGCCAAAAAGGACTTGAGGGTCAAGGTTAGGCTATTCCTGTCCTGCGACTGATCGATATCCCGGATGATCCTTCCACACGTGGCATTGTCCCGAGCTCCGATCAGAATGTCAATGATCACATCCATGCCCACCTGCAGGAACACGTTGTTGCCTTTGATGTCCTTGCTCTCCTCGCTGCGCAGCGATTTCATGGTTGACTCCTGGAAGGAAGTCAGCTTGGCGCCACGTGCCTGCATGCTGGCCAAGAGCAGATCGGCCAGATCCTTGGAGGCCAAACGTCCGATATTGGTGACTCGCGACGGCGTTCTCGGTGACGTCGACTCGGTGCTTGTGATCAGCTGATCGGTGGTTCCAGTGCTCGACTCGCTAGTTTGCGTCTCCAGGAGCAGCGAGGCCAATGTGGTCGAGGAAAACTCCAGCGGCGATCGCTTCGTAGGCTTGGCATCGTGGGGCACCAGAAAACAGGTGGAGAGGAGTAGGAACAAATGTAGGCGCCACATCTCTATGCTTCTTGACTTGTCACTAGCTTGACTTGTCGATGATTGATAGATTTCGCCGCCCAGCCGACCGCTTTTATACGACTCCGCACTCCGCACTCGCTTATCGCCATTCAAGCCCAGCGAGATAATCTCACTGGCATGCTGTAAAACGTGCCTCCCCGACATCTAGTTATAGGTATATTTGGTCGATATGCTCGGAGAATTCTTTCAGCATGTTCCGAAGAGATCTGCTTATCTCTTGGCTTTGATGAGTGGGTGCAGTTTTGAGGAAATCTGGTTTAAAGCACTGCGTTCCCCAGATTACGATCGACTTTAGTTTGGAAGTCTTTAAGTTAAGATCGGTTAGCATTTACATTATTCCAATTCATCCTCAAGTCAGTTTGGTCTTCGTTGTAAAATTTGGTTCTATATTATGTATATGATTATATTTATTTATTTAATTTAGAAACGATAAAATTAGCCATTCCTCAAGCACCTAATTATTAATAATTTTGATCATAATTCAACAAAAACACTTAAGATTTCTTTAAAAAATATATATATCTAAAAATCATATTTATCATAGTTATTTTAAAGCATCAAAACTGCCAAGTAACTTTTAGAGATACACCAAATCTTCCAAGTTCTTCTACTCTTCATATTCTTGCGATTTAACCGTGTTTACTATGCGTTCATTCATCGCAGTCTCTTTTCATTCACTCGAAAAGCCACAAAAGCACTGATGATTAATATTAGCAAATATCTTGGGATGCCGCATAGAATGTCACCCACCACAGCTTGAATGTTAGATTAGCCGAGTGACCCAGATGGTCCAAAGTGAAAGAGCTATCGCATTTTTTGGGGTGCGTTGGCACGTAACCACAGCTGGCCAAAAATTTCCGCATGGCGATACCTAATAGTATAAAGGCCGAAAAACAGCCAGAAAATGTGTGCAGTTTAAAGAGCGCTTAGAACTAAAGTGAACTCGAAGTTCGAACTAAATGGCAGCCCTGAAACTTATAATCATTTTCCTGATGGCAAGTGCTGGTTTTTTGCGAGTTTCCGAGGCACAAACCTTTACCGCCGAGGATCGCAGCTCCATACAGAAGTTTATGGATTCTTTGTTGAATTTTTTGGAACTGGAAATAAGTAATGCGACAACCACAACTGCCCCTTCGAATGACACTAGTTTGGAGACCACTTCCCTGGCGCCTGGAAACTCCACTGAGGTGACAACCGAGGTTTCGCAATCTTCAACCAACTCCACATCAAGCGTTTCGGACAGCTCCACTTCCGCATCCACATCCACTTCCACATCCACATCCAATTCCACAACAGCTAATACAAATACTACCCTATCGACCACCACTGCCAAGCCCACAACCATTAGAACCAGGATTTGCTTTAAGCGTTTCTGTTATAAGTTCAGCAACGACAAGGGCTACATAGTGTAGATGGAATAAAAATATGAAATATGGTCTAGTTCATCAGTAGCTAACCCCAAAATCACTCTTATATTAAAAAACAATCCAAAATAAAATCAATTTGTGATAATGATGAATTCATAAACCCTTCGGGCATTGTTTCACCTTTGGAGCTTACCAGAAAATATATGTAATTCAAAAAAGGAGCATTGTTGTTTGGCCTGTAAGTCAAAATGCCCGGGGAGATTGGAAAAATATTTACGTTCATGTACTTGTCCGTACATACAGTACATATAGGTATGTATGGCCATAAAGAAAATGTTTCGCATTTCTGTTCAAAAGTTGAAGTCTCTTTTCGGGCCCCAGAGGCCTTAACAAATTATTTCAATTAAAAGTTTTCGAGCAAAGCACTTAATGCCAACACAAGTTGGGCGTTTATGTGCGCAAATCTTAATTGTGCCAAAAATACAAGCTATAAATTTGTATCTCAACCAGTATATATACATATATTTATCCGTCTGTCTGTCTGTCTGTCTGGCGGGTGGAAAAGGCCAACTTAAACTGACAGCGAAAGCCTATTGGCAGGAGCTTTGTGGCTTTCCATTGAGTCGTAAACAAATGAAATTTAATTCGTGCAAAGATTTACTGAATTTGTTGCGCAAACAGAAACAGTTGAATGTGAATGATGTCAACGATGCGCCGCAGCATCGACAGGGGAATTCCCCATTTTCCCATTCAATGATTTAATTCTGCATCTGAATCTACAGTTTTTGTTTCTGCTTCTATTTCCAGTGGTCATAATTGGCAAATGAAAGGAAGCCGCAAATATGCTTGACTGTTGCGTGCTTGATTTTCTAATCAAATGGCCGAAATAATCTCCAATACGATATCAATGGGAAGTCCAACAAAAAAAGAAAGGGGTAAAGGAACACAAAGACAAGACAGTTTGGCAATCGGACGCTTATCATTCCTGGAAAATCGAACATGACTTAGTGGTACATTTGTAAGCAAAACTGGAAGGAGAGAAATACTTTTCAATACGCTTTTGGGTTTGAATTATTTAGAATATTTTATTAACATTTTGGTAAATATTGGTTTGTATTCTATTATGGATTTTATTTAATTGAACCTAAAAAAGTAATTTATTTAAATATTTATAACACATTAAATGACAAATTTTAAATAATTTGTAGAAATATGTAAGCGTATACAGAGAAGTAATATAGTAGAATTTGATTGGCTTCCACTTGGTGACCCTAAAAAGTGCTGATATATTAATTGATTTGTCCATAGCTTTGGGGGTCTGTCTGTCTGTGTGTATGTGTGGGCGAGGTGTCTGCGTGTGTGTGGCTGTGGGTTTTTCCTTCGGCTATCCTGTGAACTTTGTTGTTGGCTTCATCGCGCCACGTGCCAGTGTCATTTAATTACTGACTATATTGTTATTATTATTTACCCCCCTATATATATATTTATATATGCGTGTCAACAACTTAACGAAGTTATCACACACAGAGCGCGAGTGGTAGGGAGAGGGGAGATGGTGGGAAAGAGATGGGGAGGCACACGCTCACCATGGCAGCGGATTAAGCGACCGCCGCGTGAAGCACTTTAAATTAGTTTCGTTGCATAAACAAGAAGCAACAGCCTCTGCCAAAAGTGCTGGCAACTAGGACAATTTATATATATTATTTAAATTTATAAAATTGCTGGAAATTTTGAATATTTTTGTACAGATTATATTGTTAATTTCTAAAAAAGTTATTTTCTTAAATTGATTCAAGTTATTATTATTTCTTAGTATTGGAATATTCTTAATTTATTTTAAAAATTATTAACCTTACTTAAAGTCATTTATTGGCATTTCACTGTAACTTAGAAGATCCTTCTTGGATTTTTCTTATGCTTTACTACTTTTTCCAAGAGCTCTACGATTTTTGAACTGACTTTTCAACATTTTTAACTATTTCTAGCTACTTTTCATAAGCATCGACATCACTGCTGGTGGGTGAACTAAGGGTTGGGCTAGCGGGCGGTATTTGTGCACATATAGACGGGATGGCTGGACGGATGGAGACGCCTGTCCGCAGCTTTAAAGACAATCCACGCGATGAGCTTATCAACCATCAGCCATCAACCACCATTCCCATTTTCATTCCCGTTTCCATTCCCATTTCCACCCACAGCCCACTGGATTTTGTTTGTTTGTGTCAGTTTCTAGGCGAAAAAACATATCCAATTACAATTTAATTAAGCTGATTTGAATGCGGCTGTGTCACGTTAGTTAAAAGCAAACACCACGAATGCAAACGGAAACAGATGGAGGCGATATTGCAGATGGAACTACAAACTATAAATGGAAACCAAACGAAAGCGAATATCTAAATGGAATCTGTTTGTCTTTTTGTTGCCTGCTTTCGAGCTGCTGCCGAGAATACTGTATAGAGAAGAATACTTTTGGGCATTTACGATTTAATTTTTTTTTAATTTAATTAATTAATTAATATTGATTTGCACTTTTAAAATATAATACATTAATAATTATTGTAAAAACAGTTTGACATGCTTGGTCTAGCGCAGCATGGAACTAAAATTGTTAAAAATCTTTTACAATATTTAAAAATATTTTATTTTTATTTTACTATCAGCCTTTTAAATTAGATACAATTTTTTAAATTCAATCAAGTTCATTATTGCATTTAAATAGCGCCATCCCTCATTCTCGTTTATTGATTTGCATCTATAACGGTCACCAATTTCCCCCTTTAAACTTCGTTGAATTCTCATTCTCGGGATCTTCCCCATGGGCTCTCCCCCTTTTTCGAAGGGGTTGCCACGCGCTGCGGCGACACTTGACCCACCGAGTGACCCTCGTGATTATCGATGAAAGTGTTGTTCTGGCTTGCAATTTCACAGGCTGAGCACGCTCCACGTTGACCCACTCCAGGGCGAAGCATTCGGCTCCTTTGTTCCACGAGGGGTTGGCATTGGGGTTACCATTGGGGTGGACAATAGTGGTGACTGTACTTGCAATTTCGTCAGTCTCAAGTCACTCGCTCTCGAGACAGTTTGCTTTTCTGGTCTAGGGCACTGACAATGGTCCACTTCACAAAGGGAACACCCTCCCAAAGAGTTGCGTAATGAGCAGCCAGGGAAATGTTATGTACATGGCAAGAAACAATAAATAATATGTATTCCGTTTTATAAATAAACGGAAAGTGCCGCAGAAATAGCAACGTTTTTCCTATTTCTTAAACTTTTTTAGATTAGACTAAATAATAAAATTAAAAAAAAATAATTAAAAAAAATATTATAAATATTAGAAAATTTCCTAATTAAACTTTACTTGCTAAATAATACAAATCCCATAATTTTGTATTTTTTTACTGTGCATAGGCCTTAAACGGCGAAAAAGCGAGAAGACCATCGAAAGACTTAGGCGAAAAACCCAATTCCAAGGGGGCACGATTAAAAATGAATGCTAATCGCATTAGGGCAATAAGGCGATGATGCAATAACCATGTAGCAAGTGCATTTCTCGATCGGGCCCGAGGATATACGGGAATATTTTAGGGGCGGGGTGGCGGATTACAAGCTGCCAATCCACTTGCCACATGGTTCATTGTTCGAGGGTTGCCGTGCTTCCCTTTTTTGTACGTACTCATTTCCCTTTGTTTTATTCCTTTTTCGCCCATTGTCCCGAACACGTTTCTGGGTGAAACCTAATCCGCTTAGAGCACAAGTGAGCGATGAGCTCAGGGACAATAAACGATCCCGAAAACAGATCATGACGGATGACGACAGGACACAATATGCTACAGAACTTTATTGGACGACATTGGCTGATAGCCAGCCAAATTTAGGAAATTCTTGACGTCCATGGTAGCACAATTACTCCTCGTCGCTGCTCCCTTCCGAAGAACTTGAGTTCCCATCGTAGGGTTCCTCGAATGCGATGTCTTCAAATATCGATTCCTCCACTTCGCCCACGAAAATCAGTTCAACGTCTTGCATCAGGCGGGCGACCTCTAGATACACATCAAACCCATCATCGGGAAAGATATCCCTTGCTTCCTTCTGCATCTTCTTGTGGTCAGCAGTTCACCTTCAATTAATTTTTAATATTTTGCAAATTAAAAATTGCCTTGGCTGCTTACAAACTTGAAAAGAAATTAAATTTCGTGCGATTCGTTCCGCTGGAAAAGTGAAATTAATTGACGTAAGTGAGTTTGGCAGGCTCCTTATTTTGACAGCAGAGAACATTGTCAACTTGATGATTATTAATATTTTTAAAGAATATTTTACAAATTTGTTGGGAGCCCTAAAATATTTATAAGGTATTCTTAATGTTTTATGGCAGCTGTAAATGTATTTTATGCATAACACATAAAAACAAACTTTTTAATATAAATAGAACTAATAAATCTACAAGTTTAAAATATAGATATTATTATTACTATAATTATTAGACTAGTACTTTCGAGAGTGCTAAAAATAAACTTGCGGTTTAGGATTTAAGCTACAAAATATAAACTTTATAATGTTTAGTATAAAATGTACATATACTACAGAGTTCAGATTTTATATTATTTAGTGTTAATACCATACTATAGTGTTACTTTTAAAATACTTATTTTAATTAGAGATGTGCATTAAAAGTAAACAAAATAAAAATCATTATCCTATAATCCCATCCTTTAGCGTCCCTAAAAAGTAAACAAAATGAAAATCATTATCCTATAATCCCATCCTTTAGCGTCCCTAAAAAGGTAGATTAAGATGACTAAACTGCTTGACTTCGATCATTTGTTGGGTTTCTGGTCGCCCCATTTGAATATATCTGTCGATATCCGATTATCGGAAGCGGAAGAGCCCAATTCAAACAAAGCCGCGTCTGGTTTTCAGTTCCTGGCTTTGGTTTTCGATTTTGGTTCTGGTTCTGGTTGCCTGGACTTGGATTCCTCGTCGCCGCTGCCCGTGGATTTCCGCCTGCAATGTGTGGTGTTGGCAAATATGAGCCCGACGTGATGTGC